TACAAGATTTCGCAAAATTTTCCGCTGCCGAAAATTTCGCCTCAGAAGAAAAACCCTAACTCGTCTCAGAAAGAAGGCCGCGATGCGTCGTTTTCACAGATCTGGATCATTTGTTTGTTATGAGAACAGAAAAACGCTCTTATTGTATTGCCTCCCGCCGTCTGACAGGCGACAGTCAGAGGAGGGACGGAGGACGAACTGTCAAGGGCACACAGCATAGCAACGGAACACACAGTGACGACCGAACAAATTGAACGGAATTTTCAAGGTTGACTGCGATTCCAATCAAACGAGCAACGTTTTCCATTTCCCTCGAATGGGATCCAATTCCCCCTTCCCTGAGTGGGTGAGGGAACTCAATTTGAAATTATGTGAAGGCCAACACAGGGGTCTCAGTAGTCATTATTTCCTCTCGCTTGGCTGCGTCTCAAAGGAGCTTTGCGCGAGAGATTTCACGCCGCAACTGACGAAAAGCTTAGTTGTGTGGGGAAGATGCTTAAACTAGTTGGGAACTTACTGGGGCAACTGAGAAGAGAGTAATTCTGCGATTTCGGCTTCAATTGGGGCAAAAACTTCGTCATTTTGGAATCAGACGGATTCTGCCGTCCATGTTAGTAAAACCATTGAGAAAGTGCAATTCTCACATATTAGAAGAGTTTCTTTTAGCAAGGAAAAGGTCTCACGATTTCTCCCATCGTGAAGAATAGGAGCCAAGTGGGCTTTCTGTTCATAGAGGGAGATCGATTGGCTGATCTGAAGCTTACTTTCGAAAATAAGCCCCTTCCTGGTTACTTAAAAAGGCTGAACACATGCATGTCTTCCCCTCTCCCCCTGTTGAACAGCAAGGGTGCTGACTTCTTAGCCTATACCATCGAGATCCTTTTCCTACTTTGGATGTTTTACCTTTAATATTAAAATACTACTTCTTAAGAAAAAGTATCGTTTAAAATTGTATATTCTTAGTGCAATTACAAATGACCTTCTGGAATTGAAATAATGATATTACAGGTGAAATCGCCGAATTGAAAGCTGGATTCAAGCATGAGATGCATTTCAGCAATTTGAATGAGAACTGCCAAACAGAGATTCTTACGTGGGGAGTTGACAGCAATGTTCAGGTAAGATCTGTTGTAGGCTGAATCGCCAAATCTAGCTTGTTCCCTTTTTTCCCTACTTCCCTTTTGTTTTATTATTGACATTGAAGTATCCGAAGATGGCAATGGAAAGCATTACTATTTTGCCCGCCGCCGAGAAACATGAACGTGGGGAAAGTTGTGAAAAAGCTGCTCTGCTTCTTTATATACCCTTTCTCGCGGTACCCTAGAAATTGATAGGAGGAGTAATGGAAAGGATGAATTGCAGCCCTCAATCGTTTCCATCACAATCCACATTGAACAGGAAAGGCTGAAAATTTTTATGCCAACCGCCCTTGTGGCAGAGTGTCTCTGAATGGAAACAAAAAATTGGGCACTTTGAAAGCTTAGAATTTCCAAGCCTTCATTTTAGGATTAAAATCATAAAAGCAACTTTTAAAGGTTCCCCTAAGCAATCTAAACATTACGGTAAACACTTTTGCAGGTACCTCCACACTACAGTACTGAAGCGTCGATTATCATTGAAGAAATGAATTACAAAGGATCATATTCGGTTGTCACGAAATTGTCAGGAAACGTCACCATCTCAATAAGAAGGCAAGTCAAAAATTCTGAAGAAAATAGGATTTTTGTTTATATATCCATCACTATATAAACTTTCTTTGAATGTTTAATTTGCGTAGTTTCGGGTTTGAATGAAGGGATAGGTGGTGAGTAATCCCCGATGACGAAAAAACTATGGCTGAGGTCAGAAAGCCGTGAAATCAAGCGTTTTGTTTGTTGATTGTTGAAAGGGGGTTTGCAACACATAGAT